GAACTTTGCGTGTGGAGCCGAGCGTGGGAGAGAAGCAGCTCCCGCCCCTCCACCGAATCCAGTCCGCTTCAAAACAACTCCCCGTGTCAGAGCAGCTTTACACCGCAAACTATATAGCATTGTGCTGCTGGTATATTAAATAGTTCGGTAATCGTTTTTTAAGGACATGCAGGCTCTTTGAAAACACGTGGTGATAGACGCAACGAAATTTTCGCGGGGGTCCTTGTCCAGCAACTGGTGTGCGGTTCTCAACCAGACGACGGTGAAATTCACCCCTAGAAATAAAAACATAAAATAAAAATAAACGTTTACGTTACTTAGAACGTATTTCTGAATACAAATGATTATGGGGAAAAAACGCCGACCACCGACCCGTCCACCGCATCCATCGTGTGCCATTTGGAACACCATTAAGACATAAGTACATTTACTGTCAACGCTGTTGGTACAAATGTGTTTTGAGGATGACAATTGTTTGGTTTTCGTTTGAGTGAGAAACTTCTCATTTCTGTTCCACCAATTAACTTAAAAATTGCTGTTTATCACAGTTTTCTTCATCAGAATAGGTTAACCATCCCAACCACTGAAGTGCAACCAAGTGTTAAGGAAAGATTCTGAAACCTCAATTTAACAATACTGGAATGTTTTTGGAAACCTAAATCTTACATTTTTGGAACCAAAGTAGACATCAGGAGAATATTTATACCTTTATTGTTTGATGCCTAGTGGATAAGGAGATTGACTAGTGCTCAGATGGTTGCTGGTTCAATCCCCAGCTCCACCAGTTGAAGGTTATACATTTCAAAGAGCTTTACAGAAAGACAGCAAAAGAAGAAAATGGATAAAGTTAAAATTAATTGAGTTTAAAATCAACAACGATTGTTGAAACCGTTGTGGAAACGGGCACAACACAAATCAGAGATTTCTAAACAGCACATACACAAACCTTGGTCACAAACATTTTAGTGTTTAAAAGTAAGTATTTAATGGGTTATAGTGTAAAAAGGCATGTTTAATTGAAACGTTACTGAAACCTAGTCAACTAGGTGGCTTTTAGCTTTTAAACTGTCCTTCGAACCGTACTCTGGCACTGGTGTTTTGAAACTGGTATAGGTCACATGATGTGGCTGAAGCTGGATACTATTGAGATTTCTGAAGGAGCTTAAGGTTCGAGTCTCCAAAACTCAACCAGTCATGCTTTGAAGCATATCTGCAAGAGGAGTTGATCAAAATGCCTACAGTTATGAAAGCAAACCTGGAGCCAACAACAAGAACTGTCTGATATCTGATTACCAACAAACTGTAAGATTATGGTTTTTATGATATTTAGTTGTTCTGTCTCACTAAACAATATTTTAATTAATAATTTGATTATTTTAGGGGGGAGCTGAAAATGCTTATTTTCCTCACTGTACAAATGCACTTTAAGGGCTTCATATAATTTTGGCAAACACTGTCATAGCACATGGGATGTATTTGAAAAACTCAATTTTAAACCCTTTCTCCACTTTTGCCAGAAGGTGAACTGTTCTGTAACAATGCTGTCAGCACAACAGTATTCTAAAGCCTGGTTGTAAACTACAGTTTGGTCTTTACTGAGGAACTTTTTGAGAAGTAGAGTTGCTGATTTAGAAAAGCTAAAATCTTCTCCCAGGCGTCCTCTTGAGCTACTGCGTGAGGTTTGGTGTGTCCGCCCCAGAGCATCACAACTGCAGAAACAAGAAAGAGAAAATCAAAGGTCAGTCAGTCATTAGTTCATGCTGATTAACCAACAACTCATTCAAGACTTGAAAAGTTTACTGTCAAAGAGTTTGAAGTTTAAAAGGTCAGTGACCATCTGGTATATTTTACTGTGGTCTCTAAAAGTGCACCTTTGGGCTTGATATGGCTTAATTCATTCTACTGATGGTAGTACATTTTTGTACCAATTTCTATGAGATTCTATAAAGCGAGTAGTTGCACTACGGTTGGCAAAAGGTAGTGTGAGGTGACATCCTGTTAATTGCTGATTGATCACAGATAGCAGAAAAACATGTTCAGTGAGAGTTCGATGGTGTGACGAGATCTACCAAGAGACTGACAACTGACACACAGCTACAGGAGGGAAAGATTAAAAACTGTAAAAGTGATTATCAAACTGTTAAGCTCCAGAACAGCAAAAGGGGTTTAAAGTCGAACAGAAAAACCTGGAAATTGTACAATAGATGTGGTAGCATACAGTCAAGCCTCTTAAAACACTGCAGAGGACGGTACATTGAATAAAATTGATGAAAACATACGATTAACACTTCCATTTTGAAAGCAATCTTTTGTTTGATTAACAGTACTATACATTTGAATTAAATGCATGAACAAGTAAATAAACAAAGCCATTTCCTAAATCCAATAGTCTCAGAGGATACAATGTCTCAAATATTTCAATATGGCAAATAAATTTAGCAATTTGAAAAAACAATGTGAAAAAGTGACATTTCTAACAGTGTAATTAGTTGTAGAAATTTTTTGGGTTGCTCCATGATCCTCTCATTTTTTCTTTGTTTTTGATGTTGCAGCTCTCTGGGAATCTTTCAGTTTTGATTGAACTGAGCGCAAACTAACATAAGCAGATCTCAAGCTGTGAGATTTCCGCCTCCCAAACTCTGTGTCTCACACAAACCTAAACTTTCTGCAAAGTAAAGTGACTTGTTTGTGGTCAAGTTTTTTTCAATGGTTTCCGTTTTGGGAAATTTGAACATGTCAAATTCCAATGGGCAAAAACTTCTGAGCTTATAAGGTCCCCATTTGTATTTCAGGTGAACATAGTGAGAACAGAGATGTAATCATCTACTTTGTGCAAGCTTCCCCTGCATGCCCAGTATAACCAGACTACAGTTGAACACAGGAAAGGAGACAATGGATCAAGACTGTTTACTTTTCTTCTTCATGTCTCGCTGTAAGAAGTTGGTTGCTCTGAAATGAGGCGTGTACGGGGGTTCGATAAGATGCCCTGCACCAGGATACGTCAGCACCGTCAGCAAGTGTCGATTTCCTGCTTTCTTCATCATCAGCTCAATCTGTAAAGAACAGGTCAGATCATTGTACATGGTGTACTTCACCTGCTGTTTTAAACTAAGAACCCTGAGCACAGCAGAGTTCATCTAAAACTGGGATTTGGACCAAAGTCCAAACTGCGGCCCGGATCAGAGGTCAACTGACTAACATGGCAACCTCCTGCTTTCGCTCTCCATGCGTAAAAAGTGACTCAGAAGTGACTAAACTGCAGTTGCTTGACCTTCATAGCTGAGGCTGGCTCCAAAAGCGAGCAGGTCCTCATTCACTCCAATGGTAAATTGCCCAAATCGTGAACTGAAAAAAAAAATTTATGTTTCCACCCCTGGCTCTACTAGTTTTGTTGATTTAGATCCCTAGATTTGACCTTCATGAACACTATGAGGGGGGTGAATTTGTTCTTAAAGTTATGCATAATTAAGGGAGTGATCTCTTGAGGGGCAAACGTTTGACAGTTTTTTTACTGTCGGTTGTTTCTTTTGTGTGTGTGTGTGTATCAGGTTGTGGCTTCCAACCGATTTTCCTTTTACTGGAAGGTGGACCTTGAGGAATGAACCCCTCCTGGAGGAAGGTCAACACGACCCTGATGGGGAACATCCTAGGGTTTTCCTAGGAAGACGTACCAATCGAAGAAACCAACCCCACATTCCAGCGTAGCAAGAACTTGTAGAAGGCGCTATGGTCCAAAGTCCGGACTACCAAGGGTGGTTCACCAGCCTTTTACAACTGCCATGAAAAAAAGCCCCAATGAGAAAAAGGAGGGCTCAAGGGCTGAATATTGCTCTTTTCGTGACTTTTGGGGGCTGTTTGTGGAGGTGTTTGTGAACCTGGGAGGTGATAATCCCAAACCACTTTGATGACAATTTAATATAGTATTGAGCAAAGGGTTCTATTGAACTAGACACGACTCACATCTTCAGCAGACTCCACTGAAGCCAAGTTTTGATCATCACCACCATTCACCAGCAGAAAAGGACACTTTATTCTTCCAACCTAAAGTTAAACATGCATCAGCTCACAGAGTTCAGCTCAAAATCATACTCAAATTCATGCTCACGTCCACTTTGAGAGACGGGTCTGCAGGAATGGGCAGGATCCTGCCTCTCTGAACTGTATGGTTGTGCTCATTCACAGGCATCCATTCTAAACTACTGCAACAAAAAAATATCCCAAATCAGCCTGATCTGAAGCAACAGCACTAATAAACATCCAACTGATGTGTCATAAAATATCTCTCGTTAATCTATTTACTACCAACTATCACCAACTGTATAACTGTTATTCATCTTTTATTAATTACTGTCAATGTCTGAGAGAACAGATGTCAAAATGATGTGGACATAGTATCTGAAACATTTACCCCAGTAAGAGTAAAAGTTACCCTTATATTAGTTACTTTAATAGAATATTCTAGTATATAAATAGAATATAATAGTGTTCAGAGTGCATAAGTAATAAAGTATAATTATATAATAGTACATAAGTAATAAAATATAATCCAACTGTCAGGAAAGAGGTTCCGGAGCATTCGGGCCCTCACAACCAGACTTTGCAACAGTTTTTTCCCACAAGCCATCAGGCTTCTAAACACCAAGAACTGAACTGACTCATATTCATTCATTATCATTTAACTCACATACATCCTCATCTCCACCACAACCTTTATTTATTATTTATTGTTACTATGTTTACTGTTTACATGCTGTTTTATTTTCTATCCTG